TTTTTTTTTTTTTTGTCGGGCGTTATTGTGGGGAGCGGCCGGATCTGGATCGGCGGCGATCCGTGACGGCGACGCGGCGGTGCGAATCGCGTGACGAGCAGAGTGGGCCGGCCGACCGAAGAAGGGACGAGCTATATATATATATCGTCATAATAGCGCGTGTAAGTACGTACTGTCAAAATGGCCGCGCCACCGATGGCGGATCATCCACAAACAACAATAATATGTATACGCGTTCTTATATTTATATTATTATTTTTATTATTATTATTATTATTAATTGAATTACTGCAGTAATTGGCGCAATTGCATATAACATCATCGTCAACGCTGATGCCTAAAAATATCAAAAATAATGACTAACTAAAAATGTATTGATATGTACACATATATATATATATATACGCGTATAAATTGCAGCTATTTTTACTGACTATGATTAAGATATGATGACTACCTGTAGGTCTTCTCATCTTGGTTTAATAAACTTCTTTCCTGCTTAAACAACCACTTGCGTTCCCTCAGCTCTCCGATATAACATATCCAATTTCACAAAATGTACAAATATTAACTACTTAACTGTACAAACTTTTCATCAAACCGATTTTGACCATAGGCATATAGGGTGTGTCCAGGCACGCCTTGAAAATTTTCATTAGTTGAAACGCCCAATGCTTCACTCAAATTACTCATGCGTTAATTGTAATAAATAAACTTAAATTACCAAAGTCAATTTTCAGATTATATTTTTAAGCAAATTAAAAAAAAATAATTGTGAGTTAATTGTAATTGTATATTTAGAAATTATTTTTTCAATGTTTTAATTGTGATTGTCTATTATTGATAGCATTATAAATTTTTCAATTTTATTATTTTAACTTTTATGTTAATCTGTTAAGAATATTCGCGCACTCGGTAGAAACGGTGTGTGATGAGTGTAACTTATATTTTTTTACTATACGTAGGTATATTGTATATTATAAAAGCACATTGCGTTTAAAAAAATCTAAAAGTCTTAATAAAGATGTGGGCTGATAATAATATTTGAGTACTGCATGTCTACTATTAAAATCTGCGCACACCTATATTTTTGACATCATATAATTCTTTATCAAATTATGGGGATATACGAAAATTTCAAACACTAATCCTATTCAATGTTTTCAATCCAAATCTCTTATTTCAGCACCATATTACATATTTATCAAATCATTCATATTGATCTTATTTTATTTTCAAGTTCCAATTTATGATGCAATATTTATAATACGTACAATAATTAAAAACTAAACAAATTAAATCACAAACATACAAATCTAGTACTAAAAAAACGACGGTATCGTGCGTGATCGGCTTATTTAATAATACCTATAGTTATATACATTAAATTAATATCTAAATAGTTTATCTTACCTTACAAGTTTTTAATTAATAATAATTGTTATAAACTCTGTCAAAGATCTTCTAATGAGAGCTCTTTTCTTATTTCTATTATTATTTCATCACATTCAATTACCGTATTCAAAATATTTTTATGCAACATATTTTGTAAAAAGAAATTTATGATTATAAACAAAAAAAACTTAAGAGGAAGTCACACCTGCTTACCTACAGCTATACGTCTTACAAATCGAAAACATGATAAATTTGTTAGCATTAATATTATAGAATATAATATTAATTTACTACCAAACTTAGAAATATATAAATATTATTTTTGTTCTCTCCTTAGCTTTTTAAAATGTTTTAAATTTTAAACAAGCGTTTTTAAATTTCAATATTTTACTTACTAATAACTTGCTTAAACATTTAAATATTGTAGAAAACAACTAAAGAACATAAAATATTTTTACCTTTAAGTTTTATAATAAGTTAAAACGCAATATTTTATATTAAAGCAAATATGATGTTCTCTTAATACGCAGCTCTGTATATAAGTAGGTACATAATAAAATATAAATTTTATGAATATGTATGTTCGATACTAATAAATTCGTCAAGTATATTAGTCGATGGTGACGAGGCTGTGGCGACGTAGGTGTGTTAACTGTTGAGAGTACCATAACAATTTCTTCATATAAACTCCCTCAATAGATGTTTAGAGAGCTTGACTTCGAAAAGATAAACTTATAATTTGACGATAGTATATTATTAAAATTATAAATAAATAATATGCATCTAAATAGTATAATGAGTGATTTGTTAAATTTTAGATATTTAATAACTTAAAAATGAAACTTAACATTTCTTGAATTTTGAAATATAGGTAGGTACTAGATAAGTTTATTATAGAACTATATACAAATATACAATTTATAGTCTTAATAATGTGTTATAATTTATAACTTAAAAAGTGTATTTAACATTTCTTGAATTTTGAAATATAGGTAGGTACTAGGTAGGTTTATTATAAAACTATATACAAATATATAGTCTTAATAATGTGTTATAATTTATAACTTAAAAAAATGTATTTGAATATTTCAGAAAAATATATATAGTTTTTGAGAAATTCTATTTGTGAAATTTCTTACTAATATTACTCATAACACATTAGGTAATCTAAACCTAACCATGTACTCGCAATCTTTTTTTTTTTTTGGCCAAAATATTACAATTTATACACACGCATAACACGTATATTATAAACAACAATAATTTATGATAATTATTGTTAATATTAATGAATAATATTATATACCTATAGGTATACTATTATTTTATTTTAATACCAGCTATTGATACTTAATTTTAAGATGCAAATAATTCAAGTTATATATTGAGAATAACAACTGATTGTCGCATTTTATTTTTTATTTCATGCGGCATATTATGATGTGTGTATTTTGGTTATCCATGAAAGTTCGTGTTGAACGATGGTGTACGCAATGGTGTACACGGAAGAAACCAGAGAGTTCGTTTTGCGGACTGCGATGACTTCGGTCGTTGGTTGTCATTGTCCGATTAACAATGGTGTGTTCTTTGAGTAATGAGAATAAAACACAGACACCAAATGCAAAATCTAGTGTGTAATATAGATATTCGAATAAAAATTCGACCGAAATACTAACATAAATAATTACATTCTGTTACTCTTCGTCGTCACAGACCTGGTAAATCGTAGAACGTCACCAGGGCAAGTCGTGGTCTTTGCCATCGGTTCGCGCGTAGGCGTACAGTCGGCTTGGTCCAACTTTAGGTGCCTTTACCGTGATCGGGTAAGGTAGGTGAGTCGAACAAGGTACGTTACAATAATGTCTGTACTTTGTAATTGCGACTGATGCAGATCGCGTCAGCTATATCGCAGCGTAGATAATTATGTATAGCTCTTTATGTGGTAGAAAGCAGCTAAGGCGATGCAGTGTTGTTGTGGTAACCGTGGCTTGATAACGGCGATATTAATTATGTCATATTTTATAATTTCGGTTTGTTACAATTATTTTTTGGTTCCCTCTAAATCTCACTGTATTTTTAAAATAATTACATACGGCCGCGTTTCAAGTAAAAAAATATAGAAAAATTGATATAACGATATTTTTGAGACTTGCGTGAAGGTATGACAACTGAAAAGTACTCAAACACCTACTACCTATATTATTTTATTGATGAATACCTACGAATCTAATCAGGAAATACATTGCAATTTCAATTAATATCGTGATCAGTACTTTCAAATCAATCAAAACGATATAAGTATTAAAGACTTATCGTTAGATGAGATATTAATATTATTGTGTTTCAATCGAAGTGATAAATTATTATCCATTAACTGTTAATGGTTTTAACTAAATTATAATTAAAATATAAAAATATAATTTTTTTTTTTTTTTGATTATTGATATTTCAATTATTGAATAAAAAAATAGATATAGTCTCCAGCGAACTAATTCCATCTTTGTAACTTTTTTTTTAGTAATTTTGGAAAGTGTACAATGATCGTAACTAGTATTATTATAAGTCATGTATTTTAGCTTTTTTAAAACGTTGCTTCTTTTTGTCCATATGCAATGATATATAATTATACATATCATGAAATATATACATTATATATATTTTTATTTTCACGGGATTCCTAGTAAATATTTATAGGTATACTGCAAAGGAAGGAGGCGCAGATAGACGAATAAAAAATCAAAAATAAATGCTCAAACACCTATTATAATGCGTGTGTATTGACCGTGCTTTTATTATTTATATTTAATGCCCAACACAGAAATTTATATACTTAATATTATAATACTATTATTAACTAATATATATATATATAAATAATTATCGTTTGCTAATAGAGACACAACAACGATGTAATAATAAATTCATTAATATGTCTACAATATTATAGTAGGTATGTACATTGTATAATATACATACATCAACATTATTAAAATAATAAATATAAAATAGTCTACAAGATGCAGTCCTCGAACGACAAACCGGGCGTGGCACTTTATAGTTTATGTGATTATAATGACCGGTCGTGCCATGATATCGTAATGCCACCGGTAAAACGAGGTGGTAATTATTAAAACAAAACCGACGGGTTCACACTATAGATCGTGTCGTCGTGTTCCGTGCCTAATACCCATATAGGTATCACAATATTGGTAACACGTTACCTACAAGTCGAATGGGCGGTATAGTGTAATGTGTGAATCTGGCTTTTGACGCCGCAATGTATTGTGTATGTACATTTTTATCATGGCGCATTGCATTTTTTTTATCGTTCATTTTGTACCAAATTGCCAAAACTACACGATATTATAATTACGTGGCAGGATTGATCGTTTTCCCAACTATTTTTCCAGGTCGTTTTTGTCACGTAGGTACGTATATTATGTTCGGCGGCGTGATCTGCAACGCACAGGGAACGGTTGAAAAAAAAAATAACTAAAAACAAATGACTATGACAGAAATCATATATTATGAATAAAAAAAAAATAATAATAATGTATAAACCGTACGGTTCGACGTGTGTTTATCTGGTTTTTTTTTTTCCACAGTACCAGGGAAGACTTAAACCTACACGCCGCCGCCGACCATATCACAACATAAAGCGCACTGCACGACCTGCAGGATGGTGCGGCGGTGACGTAGAGTAAAATACAACGGACAAAAAACCAAGCGCGCGCGCGCGCTCACACTCACACGCACACGAAATACGCGTCGGCTGGGCCGTCGAACGTAAGGAATTTATTATTATTATTATTATTACTATCATCGTTATTATTATTTTTACGCGCGTTTAATGCGTAAAAGACAAAACGAAAAAATTAAATTAAAATAAAAAAATACGACCGAATGCGACGACCACGAAAAAACCCGGTTCGACGACGCGTGTCACCTACCCGCCTCGCCGAGGTCCCGCTCGGTGATGTATGCGCGCCGATAACATCATCATCGTTGTCGCGGCGGCGTGTGTGGGCCCCGTCGCCCGTCTCGGCGGCGGCCGTGTCACACTTTTTTTTTCCATTCGTCCGTATTTTTTCATTTTTTTTTTTTCCTGTTCAGTATTATTATTATTCGTATTATCATTATTCCTCGGTTTCACACGGCTCTCGTGTCGTCGTTTCCGAAAACCGGCGCGGGCTACGACGACGAAATTTCATATTATTAATATACCTAATACCCGTGTAATACATATTATAATATTATTATCGTGTTATTGCGCGTATATCAAATGCACAAGTCACGCAAATGTTATAGTACCACAATAATTTGCTAAATTTATTATAATATTCGAGTATAGGTGTAATTAGTTTTTTTCGGGTCTCATTCGATCAAAAGCGTGACGAATTAATGACAAAAAAATAATAACTCGACTTATGATTTAAATTTAATCCGAGGCTTTAATATGAATTTCGACAAATGAGTTGATGGTTAACAATTATTTAGCTCTAAAATCAATGCGGACAAAAGTGTTTATTCAGTTCAGTTAAGAAGAAGTTTATCGGTTATTTTCAATTATTAGGTACTCGGGCTAACATAATTAAGGTAGTTGTTGTAAAACTTAGTTACCTATCTTTTTCTTTTTAACAATACGAGTAATTGCAACTTTTGATGAACGTATCATATAGATAGATTATGTATAGACAATAGGCATTAATGTATTATTATCACTTATTCCACCTGATTGCAAAATCATAAATTAAAACATATACAATAATATAATAATTATTATGCAATATTATAGTGTACTCGTATAGTTAATACACCTAAATAATGTTTAATCTATGTTGTAACTTGTAATGATTACTTGAACAAGTTCACCTTTACTTGTTTTATAACTCGCAGTTGTATTCAAGTATACCTACAAATGGAATCGGGTATAAAAAAGTATCAAATTCAAAAATTACAGGCATCCTAATAAATATGCGGACAATGAAGAAAAAGTAATAATATTCACCTATATCATCTATTTTTTTCAATAAATTGTAATATCATCCTATAAAAATATATTTATATCATCAACTATAATTTCTTTTCTTAAACATTTGTATAGGTATATATGTTATAAGTTACATCTCTACTGTCTCTACTTCCGTCACACTTCATTACTTCAATCATATCACAAAACCAAAGTTAATCACTCAATCGTAAAATCTCCTCATAATTTTGTAATCTAATGAGTTAAGTTACTATACTATCGTATACATAATAAATATATTTTTAATACCTGTAATACTTCCATGTCGTACCTATTATCATAATAATTTATCGTATAGGTGCGATTCTAATCATTCAGTGTATTTTTAATCATTTAATTCGAAAAGACCTGAAAAGCACATTATTTTTAGCACGCCGAACTGCAGCAATGTATTATAATTCTTATATTTTTAACGCTAGCTATGATAGTGAGATGTATACTGTGTATACAAACGATTAACTAAAATTAAAATACACATGCATATAGATTATAAGAATGTGATATTATTATGCCTTACTCGAGACAATATAATATAAATTATAATGTATGTATATCAGAATCTAAAATTGTACGAATATAAAATAGTTGTATGCAAGTTCTTAGTTTTCCAATAGAGAGATACCATAATGACGAAAAACAAAAATTACATTACAATAAATACCTATGGTAAAAATTTTAAACACTTATCAAAAATAACATCCAAGACTATCGCTTTCTCACGAGTCACAGTTGATGAATTATTATAATAATAATTATTATTGACACTATATAGTATTATCATATTACAATGCTTAATTATGTGATTGTTGTATTATCAACCAACGTTTATAAACACAGCGAATAATTTAACAATAAAAAATCAGATTATATTACGCTTATGCAGTTTTTTATTCACATTATATAACTAAAGAACACTAAAATTTATTAAAATAATTTGTAATAATATTTTACTTTGTCAATTTGAATTATGTGGTAAACAAATAAATTTGTTAGTCATTTTCAATAGTAAATTAATACATTGGTTTGAGTTTTAAAAATTATACTGTGGAAAATATGCCTAGCCTAAATTACGGTATGGTATCATCACATAAAAATGGGACATTACACATTTGTGCCAAAAAAAATTGATTCGTTTTAATTAAATACATAAAACATAATCAATGATCATAGCTATTAGGTAAAATATGTATTCATAAAAAATCATAAAAAATTAATATTTATTAGAAAATAAATTTCAATACTAGTCGTATTGAAGTCTGATTATGATATAAAAGTTAGTTTTTTCTCAAAAGTGCTATTAAGTACCTCAATTCATTACTAACACATATTTTACACTTAATATTATTATACAGGACATTGTAGGGTATTTAAAATAATCTTCAAGTCAAATTGTCGTTTGCAGCAATATCATTTCACAAACAATAAACGACCACCGACGACTTTATTATTATTATACCAGTATATACTAGTAATAACACTTATAAATTAATAATCGATACATATATAACACCTGCTGCATAATCTTTCGTTTTCTGCGACACCGTCGTGTAATCCGCTTATACGAGTATACATTTTTGATGTGGTTATCGCCGACTTCCGGCATTGCCGCCTAAGGCGATTTACGCCCGAGGTCGAAATGCAATTTTTCATCTCCGGTTTCTGCGTGGCCACCGTGACGCTCGCAAATCCTTACCACTGTAACTAACAATCAACATATTGAATATATCTACACACATATGATTAAGACAATTTTTATAGCAGACACTGCAACAATAACGTTAGTAATAATACAAACATGTAGGTAAATCTATTAAATTGTATTTATTTATGTATATTTATAATATTATTTTATCAAGATACGTAACAGAAATTAAATATAATTACTACTATTTTAGTACATATTAATTAATCTTTATTTTAAATCGTATAGTTATGCAGTCATTTATGCCAAAAATCTACGAGACCAAACAGTTTAAAAATATTTTTAATTTTAATTTAACAAATATTCTTATTGTACACTAGGACACAGATTGTACATAACGTGTAATAATAAAAAAAAATTAAAAAATGCTAAATTATTTTAACAGTCAATTAAACTACCTAATTAAATTGTTGAGTTAATTAAAAATTAATTTATTAGTTAAGTTTACAAAAATGTGAAGAACTGAAGAACTAACAACTAAATACTTTGTTAGATTTCCTTTTTAATATATAATTAAACCATATTATACAACATCCAATTTAAGAAGAAAAAAACAATATTATATTAAGTAGTTAGAGTAAACGCTGTCTTTCAGTTCTTTATCTGTTATCTTTAAACTATTATTTTTCATATTTATCTTTTAAGACTCTTAATTGCGAATTAAGATATAGGCACAGGATACCTACACAACGAATGAGCACTTATCAGCTATTATAAAAACCTTCTTCGTTCTTGAACTAACATGCAATGTTCGAAGGTAGCTGTGGTAAGTTATATAGGTACTAATAACGTGATATCCATTATTCACTTGCGTTATTCTACTCTATCACAACTCATAGAATTCCTCCTAACCTCCTCCATACTATTATTTCCACAATATCACTTGCCAGTATAAAATATTTTTACTGTTCGTGTTCGCTTTTGTGAATTATGATTTATATAGATAGTATACATCAAAATGTATATAATATAAGTGCCCTGTACGACTGCACACATATTTTGTATTATTCTTGTATTTCTTGTAATTCTTTACAATAATCGAAAGGTTCAAAAATAAATTAATAAACTGAATAAATGTTTTATAAAAATAATAAATTCATTTAATACAAATATTCAATATTTTACTAATTTAATTAATGAAATCATATTTTTTACAGCCATTATTTATTAATTGTTCATTCACTAAAATAAAAATTAAGTGTTTTTAAATGCCACTTAAAATCAAAAACACCGTAATATGAAATTTAAGATATATACAATTAGACATACTACTTATATTATTTATTTTTCAATACAAAAAATGTGAATTGGTTATACATGGAATCTGTTATAACAAATATAATTTCAATAAATATAAAATTAAAATAATGTATATATTATACTTAACTAGTACATTTTTATTACTATCACAGATTACTTCAATTGACCCTAGGTTGCACTGATTTTTGTATAGTAATATTTTGGGAATAGCTCTAATTTTAGAATTGGTTTCTTTAAACACATTTTGAAAATTAACAAGTATTGTTATGCAAAAATTATATTTGCTTTTTATAAATATGAACATTATTTATTGTATTTTTTTGGAACATATATATACCATTAAACTTACTACTTCCTGTATCAGACTTCCGTGTATCTATTATATCTTTATCTTTGAAACGCGCACTACAAATTTAAGATTTAAACACTTGAATAAATACTAATGTCCTTATCCCAAATGATAATTGAATTTGCGGGAACAAAAAATCTTAATTTTACATTCAAATGGTAATTTGGTACGTAATAACGCAATATTTAGCAAACATAGTAATTAGTTAGGTACCTAAAATGATTTTAAAGCATTTTTACGTTATTTATTAGTCTTTAGTCTAAAATATAACTCAAAAACCACAAATTATCTATCTCTCAAAACTTAATCTGTATCAAAAACCAAAATATACTAATTACAAAAAAAATGCCGTCAAAGTTTTAAATATATGTATAAGTGTTTATAATATTGAATTAATTAAAAATTAATATTATTGCTACCACAGATCAGTTAGTAGCTCTTAGCTGTGTCTATTTGATAAACACGAACGATCAAATAATAATAATTTATTTAAACGATAGTTTATTGATAACAGACTCTCTTTGTGTACCCTAGCTGCATATCTTAATTCATATTTTCAATATCACTCCGCTATACCATACAGCGTATACACTTAATTAGATGACATATAAAAATTGAAATTATCTAATAACTCATGTTTTAATTTATTTTTTGATTATTATATAGATTACCAATTGTGGATTATTTTTCGGTCACACCAAATACAACGTTTTTGTGTTAACACGCTCACCGCTCTTCTTTTGCCCAAAACACATTCAGCGCCCCCCTACCGCCCAAATCAAGTTCACTGCCCCACAGTTCTACTCTACCGCTCCCCCAGGGAACATTATCGTCCCATATTATAAAACCACTGACCCACTGCATGAACGACCGCGGTCGCAGGTACAAAAATTATATTTTGTTTTCGTTTTTCTGCAGATTTTTACGCACGTACATTAGCGTACAAGAAACGGCATCAAGGTTCGGTCGGATGCGCGACGACTTTGATCTACAGCTGGTGCGGCAGCAGCATCAGCAGCAACACTTGCAGCAGGAAGACGTGGTCGTCGCCGACGACGACGATCAACGGAGGAGGAGTAGACGGCGGATGCACCTTCACCAGCAACACCACCACCAAAACCACGACGACGAGGACGACGACGACGACGGAGACGACGGCGTTGAAGACGCCACTGACGACGGAGACGGCAGTGGCAGCGGTGACGATCGGGACAGTAACCGTCATCGGCGGAACTCCGCGGACGCCAGTGAGCCGGACGCCAATCAGTTGTTGAACGATACGGACGACGAAGCTGACGACGTCGTCGGCGGCGGCGGTGCGAGCGCGCGCGGCGACGCGATTGCCAACGCGACGGCCAACAGCACCGGCGACGGTGGTGTTGGTGCCGACGTGGACGTGGACGACGACGACGACGACGACGTGGACATGATGATGATGATAGATTCGGGTAGACAGCCGACGGCCATTGGTGGCGGCGAGTCTTCTTCGCCGCCGCCGCCGCCGTCGCAGCCGGCTACGCTCGGGTCGGCCAAAGTCGACACGGCCACGACGTCCTCGTCATCGTCTTCGACGCCGCCGCCGCCGCCGTCCACTTCGACGGTGCCAATGCCGTCCATCACCACCAGTACTGCGAGTACCACCGCCACAAGCCAACAGGTACAAATTGCCTGCGATAATATTAGGTATATAGCCTACGGCGTATTTGCGGTATCCCGATTTCCGGATATCAAAATTTATAATATATTATGTCGTTCAAATATTCTTTTTGAGTTTTTTTTTTTTTTTTTTTTT